TGTTTAGAAAGACGGATATGGCAAGGGTGCTCATTAATCGGCAAAGATAACAATAACCAAGACCCAGGTGTACAGGTGGATTTGAGGTAGGGTAAAGTTATTAAATCTCCTTGGTACCAAAGATCAGTGATAAATTCAAGGAGCTGAGGATATCATTGATAACAGGCTGACTCGGAAATGTGAGGGTATCTGATAATATTTGGAGAAATGTGTGAAGCAAGCTTAAGTCAGGAGAAAGCTCTAGAATGTAAGTTCTGTACAGAAAAGGCAAAACAGAGAAATAACTTTTTTGTTACAGTCCACCCAGGAGGGGACACAAAGTAAAGCTCTATTCCAAAGACCAGAAGAATGAGATTTTTCAATGAAATAATTAGCCAGTATAGACTTTCAACCATTACTTATCTTGAGGAGGAGAGGAACAAATGTCTTCTTAAAATAGCAACTTGAGGCCTTCTAATGGTTTACACAAACAGGGGCCAAGGTCCTCCTTTACCTCTGTGTCCAGTGTTTTCCTCCACAGTTTGACTGAGGAGTGGTGAATCCAAGAGTCTATTCATGTAGTGTTTACAGTTGTTGTGATAGAATTACAGCGTAAGGCTCAGTCCAAGTAGGCTCTAGAGGTGTTGTGAGGGGTACCCGGGACTTGACTAACACTAAGTCTCCTGTGATACGCCAGTCTCCCTGTGAAATGCTCCAGATAACTGTTGTAAGTCTGTTGGAATTTGGCTAGGGCTATTATGTCTTTAATCTGTTCTGAACTCTCACTGTCGAGTACAAGATCATTTGTGAGAAACGAGCACCCATATAACATCTCATATGGGCTAGGTCCTAAAGTCTGGGGAGTGTTTCTGATTCTCAACAGACCCATGGGAGGCAGAACAGACCAAGGAAGGTGAGTCTTCTCTGTCAATTCCCTGAGGTGCCTCTTAAGGAGGTCATTAATTTTCTCCAGCTTTTCTGAGCATAAGGGGAACAAATGACGTTGGTGACTCCATTTTGGATGACAGAGATATTTTAGAAGCAGATGACACGTGAAGGGGCATGAGAACATGTTTCTCAGAGAAATAATGAGTGCCCCAGCCTGTGTGGGTATGCTGCATGAACCTGACTAAGAGTGACGGGGAATGAGAAATAAGACACACACAGACATACAGACATAAAACAGAAAAGCTGGGGATGGGAGGGCTGCACGTTCCTGATGGGAAACGTGAGCGGCTACCTGAGCCAGAGTGTTTATTTTATAGGTCAGTACAAGGGAAAGACTCAGGTAAAAATCAAGCATTAACAATTCTTGATGCAAGGTGAAAGGAATGAGATTTGGTGGGCTAATTTTCCTAAGGCTATGGAAACTTAATGACAACACATCAGTTCTGGAATCATCAAGGCATGCAGGACACCTTATCTAAGGTATTGATAAATCTGGCATCAGGGAGTCTCCTAAGAGTTCTGGTACTTTATGTAGTTTTGCATCAGGGGGCTGGTCTGTGGACACAGCAAGTTGTATTCTTCAAGGAGATGTGAGAACAAAGGTCAAGACACCAGGTACTGGTAGAAGAGGCTGTGCAAACTTCTACATGGAGAGGCTGTGCAAACTCCATTATATCCCAGTCCAGGGTTCATGCCTGGTCTCCAACATCTCCCCCTACTTTATTTCTTAAAAGCTCCTGATGCATTTCTATGTTTAATCTGAGGAGTCGCCTTTTGATCTTTCAAGTTCCAACTGAAAGTAAGCAAAACGACAAATCATTAATAACACAATGCCAATGAAATACCAAAAGAAATATTTTAGTATATTAAAAGGGTTAAATCCTTGCAGTTCATCTAATATACTTTTTGCTCTATCTGCAGGAGCAGCCACCTGATCGTGTGCTCGCTGCATAGCTAAAATTTGCTGCCCGTAAGGCTGTGGTTAAGGGAATCACTGTTATTTTCCCAGGCTCCCATGACATGTGTTTTAACGAGTTTCCACGGGAAGTCTGTGGCATTGTAGGTGCTGCAGTGACACAAATGTGTTGGAAGCCTGCACGGCACAGTAAATCTTGATGGTATTTCAGCATTTGAACTTCATCTCCCATAGCCAGCAAAGCAGCTTCTAGAGAACTTAAGCAGATATCAATTTTTTCATCTATAGCAACTTGTTGTTGAAAGGCATGACTGACGTTTTGTGTCAAGGTAATAACATAATGAACATTTTGAGTGCTTTGGGAGAGGGCTACTGCAGCAGTAGTCGTGGTGGCAATAGCAGTGATGGCTGCCACAATGCCTGCTATCAAGAACCCTACAAATCTTTTTTCTCTTACTAATAATGATTTTATTTCTTTGACAACCTGTAGTCCTCTATCATGATATCAAGGTCCTGCGAAATTTGTAGGACAGTATAGGGGCTTTGTTTTACTATAAGTAGGCTGCCATTTATGTAATTATCCACATATGAGGTTAAATTACAATTACAACCAGAGATATCAAAAATAGTTCCATTTCTAGAAATGTTAATTGATCCAGCCAATAAAGCAAATGGATGTTGAACACAAGCTTGCAATCCTTTAATACAGAGCTGCCTGAATGGCTAGTTAGATTGATATTAGCAGTAGCAGCTCTGAGCTTCCATATATCTGACTGAATGGTTCCTCCGTCTGGTCCCACCAGAGGGGTGGTCCAGTACCCCATAATATTAGTGTCAGAAGTGCCAGTATAAGACCCATACACAAGCTTGCAGTCTGTAACTTTAATAGCCATTGGAGAAGCAAATATACTTTGCTCCCATGAGGCTCCCTTATGGGGGCGCCAGGGATTGTGTTTGTCATGACAGCGGGGAAAGTGAGGCCAATGTGTACATTATATGGCTCAGTGGCATTAAATCTGAAAAATTCTAGTTTTTTATCAAGAAACTGAGTACCATTCCGTAACAGAGCACTTTTCCAAATAGGTGTGAGAAGGAAACAATAAGGCACATTTTCCAGACATATGGGTAAAGCAACAGCTTGTCCTGTAAAACCATAATTAGTGAAAGTAGGAACCAGGTGTCCACTGGAGTGACCTCCTACCAGATCAGCGTCATTAGTAAAAACTGATATAGAAGGACTTTTCCCGGTAACTGCATGAAGCAGAGGTGGATGAGGCACAAAAGGCCAATGTACTAAGTTTGGGCTTCTGCAGCATTCACCTGGTGACTAATGATGGAACCACAGCTAGCAGAAGAACAGCAGGAGTTTCCTCCTGTCCCCACCCCTTAATGGCATTCTTGGCCATACCCACCAAGCATATTATTTGACCCCAAGTTGGGGAGTAGATCCCGGGGTTGTTTTACTGCATTTGTCAAGGTGATGATGTTGCCTCTTATAGGACCTGCTAGGGTTGTTCCTTATTGCTTTCAGTGACAGGATCTCTGTCGGTTTGGTTTTTGGCAGGCTTGGGCTCCTCTCCTCCTCCATCAGGTGGAGCTTCTGCATCTGATGGCTGATGGGTTCTGTGGGTCTTCACAAACCATGAGGGTGCCTAAATTGGGTGCTCTGCACCTTCAGTAAAAACATAAGCATGGCCTCGGCCCCATAACAAGACCAGGCTAAGGCCTTGCCAGGCCCCAGTCATTACATCTTTCCACAATACCTGTGGCAAATGTTGTTTATTACAATGTTCCCAATGTTTTTCTGCTGGAGTAAAGCCAGATTCAGAGCAATTTTAAAAATTCAAAGTAAAAAGAGCTTTGTTAATTTGACTGGCCAAGGAGCTGTCTCCCTTTCTTGTCTTTGTCTTCTGTTTAAAGTTTGATGAGCTCGTTCCACATAGCTTGACCTTGGGGATTGCAGGGTATGCCTGTGGTATGAAGAATTTTGTAGGAGGAACAAAAGCCTTGAAGGCAGTAGATGTATAGCTTGGACCATTATCAGTTTTAATATGGAGTGATTTGCCCATCACAGCAAAGGCAGCTAAACGGTGATCTGTGACATGGCGTGTTGCTTCTCCTGATCTCGGAGAGGCAAAAACAAAACCAGAGTAAGTATCAATGACAACATGGACGTAACGCTATCGTCCAAAAGATGGAATGTGAGTAACATCCATCTGCCAAAATGATAGAGGATGAAGCCTACAAGGGTTAACTCTCTCACTGGGCACAGGCAAACAAGGAGCACATTTTGAACATGATTTAACAATTTGATGAGCTTGTTCGACCTTAGCCAGGGCCATATGACTCTCTGGTGTAAGATATCTAGGAGATGATGGTTGAGTGTCTCCCTGTAAAATTTTAAAGAGAGGAAGCAGTTCACAGGTGGTAAGTTTTAAGGCAGGATGTAGCCAATTTATATCACCTTGAAGAGCAAGATAGCCTTGAAACAGGGTCGTAAAACATGTCAATTAAAAGCTGTAACCTCGGACAGAGCTGTAAAGCATGAGGAATTGACCATTAGAGCTTGCAAAAGTTCAGAACTGAGATGAAAGGCATAATGCAGAGATAAGCATCCATTCCCACCCTTCTTTGTCTCTACTTGTAAATAAACTTTCCAAAGCAGGTCTCCCCTGCTGACCTTATCTAAACAACGTTAGGTCCCTAGCTCACTACCAGCCCAATTAACCTAAACAATCTTAGGCCTCTAACTCACTGGTTAGGACACCATAACCTGAGCACATTTTTGTAACCTGATGCCCTGCACTGCCTTTTAAATATCTTGTGAATCCTGTGTTCAGTGCTCAGACACAGGTACACGACTGAGCCCCCTGGTGTAAAAATAAAATCTGAGTTCTCCACTCCTCCAAGTGTCGCTTGGTTTCTTGTCTGACTATACTGCCACAACAACCTAATAATTTTGAAAATCATTTAAATTTTTTAAATTATCTTTACGGATTTCTATTTTGGGGGGGCAGATAGTCCATCCCTCAATAAGCTGTCCCAAATATGAAAAGGAAGATTGCTTTTGTACCTTATCTGGAGCTACAATAAGACCTATTTGGCCAAATTATAAACAACAAAAGAAGTTTAGAAGAAGTGGGCTTACCTGGCATCCATTTTTAGTTCTGGCTGGACTATAGATGATATTCTGACAACTTAAAAATGCTGCAGAATGTCAACAGACAACAGTTGTAGATTTTGAAAAAAATCCAACAAAAGTAAATATTTAGAAGGCCAAACTCAATTGAAAATAGGTATTGGGTAATTGTAAATGCTCTGAAGAAGGACCAAGACTGAGAATGAAAAGACTTAGAATAGCTGTGGTTAAAATACTGAAAAGTAGTTTGGGAATTGTCAGAACATTTAGCTATTTCTACTGTAGACTGCAATTTTAGGAGGATAATTATGAGTGATAGTATTAAAACAGCAGCACTAATGCTCTTTGTTACAATTAGGAACACGTGGACACAAGCTTGTAAAGTCTGGCATTGTTAACTGTAGATCTCTTTAAGTTATGGAGCCAATGCCTGTGATCCCAAATAGCCTTATTTTTAGAAGTATACTTACATTGTATACATATACAGTAACACTTATTTGACTAAAACTAATATAGGCCAGGTTTTAAGTATCAGGATTGCTCAAAAGGAAAGGTTTTTCTGAATGTTACTGATTATAAAATGGCACACCTGCCAAAAGTTTCATTAAGCATTTTATATGTTGAAGGTTTAGATGCAATGCTTTTGAATAAACAACTTTAGGCTGGTCAGTTAAATAAAACACTTTTGGATAAAAGAGAGCTTTAGCTCATCATTTTACATAAACTGACACTTTTAACTTTGCAAATGTTTGTGCCCTATTTTGATAGTATAGACACAGAACACAGTTATAAGGTGGTCATTTAAGAGACCTTTGCATGAGCAAATACATAAATGAACTCTGATTTAGTAGTACTAAAACTTGACAAGATAAACAGAAAACACAAATAAGTACTTTGATAAAATCTATCCAAATAAAAGGTTTGTTTTCTTTTTTTTTGCAGATGTTACTCATAGAAGAATAATATTAAGATAGCCTTGTTATTTTATGGGCATAGAGAATTAGACATTAGTTTGACATGACCCTAAAAAAATTCTTTTAGGCAACTCTTATAGCCAACTTTTATTTTATCACACACCGAACTTTCTTATTATACACTTTTAAAACTTACTCAGACCTTCATACAACATACTAAACCATCTGATGGTTGTCCTTATCCCTCATCTCCATATTTGAAACAGTCTTCAGGACAAACCCTTCTTTATAAAGTCCTTTCTCATCTAAAAACCTTCCTTTTTTCCTTTAACTTTTTCCCAAAATATACACTCGATACCTATCTATATCTTTTCTGCTTGTTCACTCTGTAACTTTTATTTTAAAATAACTTTTATAAGAATTTGAAATTTAAATAAAATTGTTTTTTCAATTAGCCTTATTTTTAAAGGCAACTTTTGTTCATAGATATAATTATAAAAGAATTGAATGTAAATTACACCTATGATAAAATGAAACAGATTAAGGTTACTGTCCATAAAATAATGCTTGTAATTAGTTAGATAGACCTGATTAACATAGCCTTTAAAAAACTGGTTTTTCTTAAAAGTAGCAGCAGAAGAGGTGGGGGAGGGAAGATAACAGAAGTTATTGTATTTCTTTACAATAATGTTATTTTAAAAATCCTCCTAGACATGTTTAAATATACACATACGTAAAAAAGGTTTTATATTAGGCATGCGATAAATATCAATTTTTACACATAGATTCAAGAGCTCAAGAACATGTAAAAATTAACTAAGTGGCCACAAGTACATTGATAAGTTATTTTTTAAAAAATTTTAGGAGCAGATTGAGAAGTGTCCCATTCTGTTCTTTTAGGACTCATTTTGGGCAGCTTAACAGCTGAGGCAAGAATCAATTTTAGGAAAGTGATTTAGGTCAGTCTCAGTTTTTAATAAGACTGTTGCCATAGCTATCAGTTTTTTGTCTCTAATAAGTTAATCACACAATAGACATACACAAAATTCACACAATGAAATACAAAACAATACACACAAAATTTACACAATAAAACACAAAACAATTACATTAATTTCGAGTGTACTCTTAGACATTGAAGACTAGATTTACCTTCAGTTTTAAACATACATACATAGCAATCTCTTTCTTTAGATCCCATATTTATTACTCCTGACTATATTCAGAATTTTGCTCTCCCCTTACCTCATTTTCCTTGTGGACTCGTCCTTGGAGAGCGTTCCCCCAACTTGTCCAATGAGCTCTCTTGTAGTCAGGCCCCATGTTGGGCACCACTTGCCCCGGCCTGTTGTGGGTATGCTGCATGAACCTGACTAAGAGTGATGGGGGAATGAGAAATAAGACACACACAGACATACAGATATAAAACAGAAAAGCTGGGGAAGGAAGGACTGCACGTTCCTGATGGGAAACATGAGCGCCTACCTGAGCCAGAGTGTTTATTTTATAGGTCAGTACAAGGAAAAGACTCAGGTAAAAATCAAGCATTAACAATTCTTGATGCAAGGTAAAAGGAATGAGGTTTGGTGGGTGTCACGAGCACTTATTGGTTCAACTGAGTACAGAGAGACAGTACTCAGGAGACTCTTATTTCAGAGAACAGGTTTTTATTCAAACAAATTTACACGGCACTTTCCTATGGATCCTAATGCCTGTCCCTGCTACCCTAGCCAGCCAGGAATTACTCAGACCTTCCCCCAAGTCTCATTCACCAGAACGCCTTCTCAGCTGATGAGGGGGGTGAAGCTGCACCCCAGGGGATCCTCACAGCCACCTTCAGTGCAGGTCCAGTTCACGGTTCACCAGAACACCCAGTGGTCATCGGGAGAAGGGGCATGCTCACAAATGGTGGCTACCTCCACATCAGGGCCTCAGGATGGACTCTGACCGAGTGATCTCCGCTGGGCGAGGAGGCAAGTGAGGTTTTGGGTTCCGGCCTGAGTTTATATACCCGGTGGTGACCTCACCACCCCTGTTATCCACACTGTCACCTTAGGGTTAGCTTGTTTGCATATCAGCCACCACCTTAAGTTTGGCTTATTAGCATATCAGCCACCACCTTAGGTTTGGCTTATTAGCATATCAGCCTGTCATACTCTGGCTGGTTTCTAAGTCCTAACACACACTAGATAATATAATATTCCTTATTTCAACAATTTTTCATACTTTAGCACAATACAATCCTTCAAAACAACAACAAACTTATATGTGTTCACCACAGTGGGCTAATTTTCCTAAGGCTATGGAAGCTTAATTACAACACATTCAGTTCTGGAATCAAGGCATGCAGGACACCCTATCTAAGGTATTGATTAATCTGGCATTGGGAGTCTCCTAAGAGTTCTGGTACTTTATGTAGTTTTCCATTGGGGGCTGGTGTGTGGACACAGCAGGTTGTATTCTTCAAGGAGATATGAGAACAAAGGTCAAGACACCAGGTACTGGGAAAATTATGGTAGCAGAGGCTGTGCAAACTCCATTATATCCCAGTCCAGGGTTCATGCCTGGTCCCCAACAAATGAGCCTTTCACCAAAATAACAAAATGCAGCTGCAAGATGTGGGCAGTGGGCCCCAAGGCCAAGAAGAGCTGACCAGACAAGAATGTTCTGCTCCATAAAAGGGGAATGGGCAGGTGCCCTGCTTCAACAGAGAGTTGAGTAGGCACCAGCCAATCACAAATACAGTTTCAAGGTAGAATAGACGGACCCAGGCCAGGCAGAGCCCTATATCACTCCTAGACTTCAGCTATACTATGGCTTGGCTTTTCTTAGCCCCTCCCACACTGGGAGCTTTTCTTGTGTTTTCAATAAACCTTGTGCTTGCTTTACTCTTAACTCATGGTCCCTTGTCATCAATCACTGACTTCGCCTGGACATGAACTTGGGATCAACAGTCCAGTGTCATGGCCACTGGGGCCTCCAGGCACCATACAGATGGTATTGAATTCCCAGTGCTTTAGAGACTCCCTGTATAACAACTGCTTTGAGGGAGGGGCCATTGTTACTTTGCAGGCTCCGTGGAAGTCCAAATCTAGAATTATCTCAGAGACCAAATCTTTACTACTTCTGATGCCTTTTTACTTTAACAAGGAAAGACTTTATCCTAGTTAGTGAAGGTATCTACCCAGAACAAAAGATATTGGATAGCCTTCCTTTAGTCATAGACTAAAATCCTTCTCAGGGTAATTGCCTTTACATTGTATGTCAGGGGGAGCTATTTTTATGTTAAGGAAGTTATTATTCTGACATATCTCACTTACCCTAATCACCTGTCAGATTGTTGTTAAGAGATTTTACCTGTGAATAACCTTGTGGGCCATTTGATATGTTTTGTTTATGTTTAAATAAAAGGCTTGGTGAAGATCCTTAATAATTTTCCATTGATTAGCCTGTGTTAGTAGTTTCTCCTTCTCTGTGGCCATCCTGAAGGAAGACGTGTGTATCCTCAAGATAAGGCCCATTCTTTTTCTGTAGTGGTGAATTGGGGCTTGTTCTCCTTCAAAGAGCTATCCCAGATCAAAGGTGCCTCAGTTGCCTCAAGTGTTAGGGGCCTTTTGGGTGCTGCCTTAGCCACTAGATTGGCCAATCTATTCCCCTCAGATACTTCATCACTTCCTTTTTGATGACTCCTACAATGTATGACAGCTACCTTAGAGGGGAGATAGACTGATGATAACAGTTGGTCTAGCTCCTTGTGATATTTGATGGGGGATCCAGAGACTGTCAGAAAGTGTCTTTCTTTCCAGATTACAGCAGGCACATGGAAAACCAGAAAAGCATATTCAGAATTAGTGTAGATTTTAACCCTCTTTCCTTAGCTGAGTTCCAGTGCCTGAGCGAGGGCTATAAGTTCAACCAGTTGTGTGCTAGTGTTAGGTGGGAGGAGAGAGCTCTCAGTAGTAGCCCCTATGGTCACCACAGCACAGCCTGCTTTGTGGACTCCCTGTTCTGTAATGGAGCTCCCATCTGTGAAGAGGACTAAGTCTGAATTCTCTAGAGGAGTTTTCTTTAAATCTTTTCTAGCTGCACAAGTTTGTATTATCACCACTTACAATCATGTTCTACATCTCCTCTGTCTTTAGGAAGAAAAGTAGCAGGATTTAGTGAGGAACAAGTTCTTTTTCTTTTCCTTTTTTTTTTTGTTGTTGTTGTACCGGGGCTTGAACTTGGGGCCTTCACCTTGAGCCTTCACCAGCCCTTTTTTGTGATGGGTTTTTTTTTTTTTTTTTTTGGAGATAGCATCTCTCAAACTGTTTGCCCAGGCTGGCTTTGAACCTTCAAACCTCTTAATCTCTGCCTCCTGAGTATCTAGGATTACAGGTGTGAACCACTGGTGCCCAGCAGATGCTATTACCTTTGTGTCACAGAGATGTGGTGTGCCTGGCAATGGGTCACCAGCATGGGAACACTGTACTTGCAGTGACTGAGTAAAAGCAGTTTTGTTTTGTTGTTTTGTTTTTTGGTGGTACTGGAGTTTGAACTCAGGACCTCATGCTTGCTAGGCAGGCACTCTACCACTTGAGCCACTCCATCAGCCTGAAGAGCAAGTTCTTAACTGGATAGCCAGTCCCTTGAGTAATAAGACTGATATCTGAGGAGTTGGCTGTCAGAGAACCAGAGACTCCCTTTGAAGGCAAGCAATCCTATGGGGATTGTACTATCAAGTCCTTTTCCAGAGTTAATTTGGTTGCCTTGGGAATCAGGAGAACAGTTGCTCCTAAGGCCCAAAGGCAAGTCGACCATCCTTTTGCCACTACGTCTAATTCTTTATGTAAGTATCACATAGGTTGTTGAGTAGACCTTTGAGTCTGGGTCAGAACTCCCAAAGCCATTCCCTCTCTCTCGTGGACATTTAGATTGAGAGCTGGCAGAGTGGCTCAAGCGGCAAAAGCACCTGACTAGCAAGTGACAAATAGATTGAAAGATAATTCGGTGGGAAGGCTCAAGGCAGGTGCCTGGAGAGAGCCTACTTGAGTTAGTCAAAAGCCAATTGTTGATCCAGTGCCTATTCTAAGAGATGGGTACCTGATTTTTGAGTGTCCTTAATTGTTTGGTACAAGGGACAGGCCATCTCTCCATATGTTGGGATCCACAACCTACAAAATCTTGTTATTCCCCCAAATTCTCCTAACCATTTGAGAGTTCTAGGAGTTGGGAAGGAGGTTATGGGTTTTATTCTTTCCTCCCTCAGTTTTTGGGTCCCCTTCCTTATTAATCTTAAGTATTTATCAGAGTTTTGACAGAGTTGTGCTTTGGCCTTAGAGACTTTGTATCCCTTTTTTGCTAGGAAGTCAATTGAAGCTCGAGTTCTCTCCTATGAAGTCTCCTCTGCTGGGGCACATACAATGATATAATCAACCTTCTGGATGACTTTTGTTGAAGGGTGATCAAATTGGAGTAATTCCTGTGCCAAGGCTTGTCCAAATACATGTGGGCTGTATCTAAATCCTTGAGGTAGAACAGTGCACGTTAGCTGGGTGGACTGATCAGAGAGGTCCTTAAACGCAAACAAAAAACAAGAATCAGGTGTGAGGGAATACTTAAAAAGGTATCTTTCAGATGTACACACTGAGAACCACTTAGAATCTGTAGGAATCTGGGACAATAGAGTATATAGCTTGGGGACTGGCAGATAGATAGGAACTACTGCTTTATTTATTAACCAGAGATCCTGCACTAGAATCCCTTCTCCATTTGGTTTTTGTACTACCAAGATAGGGGAATTATAGGGATTATTGCAGGGCCTTAAAAGCCTGTGATTCAGGTTACTCCAGAGGCACCTGCACACCCATGTTTATTGCGGCACTATTCACAATAGCCAAGTTATGGAAACAGCCAAGATGCCCCACCACTGACGAATGGATTAAGAAAATGTGGTATCTATACACAATGGAATTTCATGCAGCCATGAAGAAGAATGAAATGTTATCATTCGCTGGTAAATGGATGGAATTAGAGAACATCATTCTGAGTGAGGTTAGCCTGGCCCAAAAGACCAAAAATCATATGTTCTCCCTCATATGTGGACATTAGATCAAGGACAAACACAACAAGGTGATTGGACTTTGATCACAAGATAAAAGCAAGAACACACAAGGGAGATATGACTATAAGTAAGGCACCTAAAAAACTAGATAGCATTTGTTGCCCTCAATGCAGAGAAACTAAAGCAGATACCTTAAAAGCAACTGAGGGCAATAGGAGAAGGGGACCAGGAACTAGAGAAAAGGTTAGATCAAAAAGAATTAACCTAGAAGGTAACCCACACGCACAGAAAAGTAATGTGAGTCAACTCGCTGTATAGCTATCCTTATCTCAACTAGCAAAAACCCTGTTCCTTCCTATTATTGCTTATACTCTCTCTTCAACAAAATTAGAGATAAGGGCAAAATAGTTTCTGCTGGGTATTGAGGGGGTGGGGGGGAGAGGGAGGAGGCAGAATGGGTGGTAAGGGAGGGGGTGGGGGCAGGGGGGAGAAATGACCCAGAGCATTGTATGCACATATGAATAATAAAACAATAAAAAAATTTTTAAAAGCCTGTTACTTTAGGTTGCTATTATAGTTCATAATCAATGCTTTGCTGCAGGTCTCAGAGGATATTGTATCTGATGAGGGAAGGCTGTGAGTCCTTAAGATAGATTTTGGTAGGGGTGGCTTTGATTGACCTGCCTATCTTGTCTTGAATGGCCCAAACCAATGGGTCCACTTTTGTTTCCATTAGTGATAGACATAATGACTGTCCCAGTGCCATAGGAGTTTCCATGCAGGGCAAGATGTCTCTCCCCAGTAAAGGGGTTGGGCTCTCTGGTATAATTAGGAAGGCATGTGTGAAGAGAATAATATCCCACTTACGACTGAGAAGGTGGGAAAAGTATCTGGTTAGAGTATTTCCTGAC